TAGTCACCGCCGTGAAAGCCTCAAATCTTACTAAAGCAGTTTGTACATACATTTACTGCTGTACTTTAAAGGGACAGACATGTGAGACGTACTTGTTAACTATGAAACCACAGACTGGAAGATTTCCTATTCAAATTTTGTGTTTAATGTAATGAAATAACAAGAGCTGTGCATACAGAAATCCGATTTTTTTTTTGGAAAAAAACAAATATGTAATAAATTTTACGGCCATCGGATGTGCGGTGTTTCGAGGACGTGCCTGCAAATTCCGAGGTCACACGCCGACCTTTCGCCTTATGTTTCGGTAGCGATATACAAACATCCGCAAAGACACTCCTGAATGATGCCGACACGTTACCATACGCCGTGCCAGTAGCCATGTTGAAGACGGTGGCGACGCTGCTGTTGCTATGGCCGCTGATATGTTACGGCTTCGTGCTTCTCTCATTCCCAGCCGCTGGCTCCGCTGCTGTGTCCAGGCACTTCCAGCTCGGCACAGCACACGTGTACCGCCTGGAGAGCACCGTGCTGTTCAACGAGTCGGGGCCCCGGGTCGGCAAGGATGTCGGGTATCAGGTTACTGCTACCCTTAACGTCGGGGTGCTGTGGCAGAGCCCCTTCGACCCCAACGACAAGCTGCTCCAACTAGAGGTCAGTATAACTAACACTATGGAGCTCGGTCCTTCGTGAGAAGCTGATAGTTGCTCAGCTATTCAAGGCCCTCATGTAATTTCTTTATGGAACCAGAAAGTTCATAATCGTGCTCACATTTTAAGTTAATTTTTTTTTTAACGCTGGGAGGCCCAATTTTATTCACACCACAGACTGTGAGACATTTGAGCACCACTAAACATGACTAGCACCAGTCTTATGGTTCACATACGCGTATAGGTTTATTCACCGCAGATTCAGTAGCTTAGACTACAGTGTCGAATATTGTGGTGACGAGTGAATAATGACTTCATAAGGATGTGTTCTAATTTCGCATGCGATTCATGTATTTTCCTCAGTCATGATAACCGGTTTACGAGTCGAGATACGAACCTGGGACCTGCAGAACACGAAGCAAAAGTACTAGCTGCTCGACCAAACGCTCCTTAGACATCAGTGTTAGCCGATTATCTATGAAGTATTATAATGCACAGAAATCTACTGTTACTCTTTAACCCAGGTTTTTGTTACTATCAGTCGTCAACCATTGATGTCATTAATTCTACACGTAATAATTAGAAATACGTTAAACAATTCTAGAATTAAGAATACACTCACCAACCACGATGAGCTGTTCGTCTGCATTATGAAACCACATACAATGCCCTTCCGTCAAGTTCTGTTGTCGCACTAAGCGATTTTACGAGTATGTTACTTCCCTCTCCACAATTTGTAAAGTGAACATGTCTTGACGCACATTTCTTCTTACGTTCGTAATTCTGATTTGCACAGTGAAATGAAAGATTTTCTATAAATATACACACGTTCTGTAATAATCACGAAATATCAGTACTGTTGCAGCGCTACTCGAAAATTGTTATAAGTACACCGCTACTATTGGATAACCACGTAACTTTCTGAGAACAATGGTTTTGACAATGTTCCCTCCATTATCAGTATATTTGAGTTTTCATTCGATGTTCAATAAACCTCGAGCGACAATGCATCGCTTTCGAGGTATCGAAATGTTGCCAACGTGGTGTTTATATTTACCGCAAAGCGCAACTTACTAGGTGATTTTACAAAATCTTATTTTATTCACTTTAGAATATGTTTATGTTGATTTTTAAATTTTAAGTATAGATATTAATTTTCATACAACGGAATGGAGTAGATATGGTTTTGCTGCCAGCTTAGTTTTAAATGCATTGAATTAGGCTTTTCGTACACATGAAAGAAACCAATATATATTTGTAAGAAAGTAAAGAGAGGTAAAATTGCAATGGAATACATAACACCTGCAAGGGCCGTATTTATTCCTGTCATTCCGAATATGCATATATGCTCCATGATGCAGTTTAAATATGTAAAGTTACTGATTCACAGAGCCAAGAAATTCTCTGCTGTCATAGAACCCGAAGGCTCAGTAGTGTGTTAAAAAAAGATCCCGCCATTGAACTCCGTACTGAGCCAGTTAAATTAATTTTCATATCCAGCATATCTTAAGATATATTTTAATAATATCCTCCAACATTCAAGTCTCAAAAATGGTCTCTTCCCTTGAATTTGATCAAAATTTTGTATGTACATGTCATTTTTATTTGTGCGCTACCCGCCTTACAAAGCAGATCAGCCTGGATTAGTCACCTTAGAAGTACTGGATTAAGAGTAAAATTATGAAGTTCTCCATTTCACCATACTTTTATATGTTCAAATATCATCCTTTAAATTACTCCTGCTTCTGCTGCTGCTACTACTACTACTACTACTACTACTACTACTCTATGTCAAATATTTTGTGTTGAAAGCAGCAGCAGCAGTAGTGTTAGTAGTAGTAGTAGTAGTAGTAGTAGTAGTAGTAAAAATAACAATGAATGACAACCCCAGTGATACTGATGTCTGGAATAAATGCTTGTTATATATATTTTATGTCATGACTCTAAGAGCCAGGGGGAAATTATCTTTACTGTGATGCAGCTACAGACCTCCACATGCCCTCACTGAGTCACTGTATACATATAATAAAACCTGTTGAATGTTTTGTTGAATTGTGTTGCATACTGACCTTACATTATCACAGTGTGACACAGCTGTAAGGGCCCAAGTTAAATTGCCTGTATTTATCGTTCAACCAATAAGCTATAAAAAGGTGTCTGAGGAAACTGCACGACATTAATAGTATATGTCTTTGCCAGTAGCTGTCTTCACCACAACTGCATATCAAGTCTAGAAAAGCACCAGAACCAGAGGGGTTTGTGGTACACACATCCAAATTGGAGGACTTGAAGAACTTGCCATACTTGGTGCACTGGAATACAGGCAAGATTGAGCATGTTTTTCTTGCAGAGGGTGAAGACCTGTCCATGGTGAACCTCAAAAAAGGGATTGCTAGTCTTTTCCAGGTAAGTAAGCTCTTGATTTTGATCAGTGTAGATTTATATATCATTATCATGCCATGAAGAACCATGAAGATGCTGAAGTGAAGCTCCTTTAATTCTTAATATTGAACCCATATGGAAATTATTGGACAGCTTCATATTAATTTGTAATGCCATTCACATTAAAATAGGTCTTAATTACTGACTGAATAACAGATAACTTGCAGATGGAATGATTTTGGTGCCCCCTTAAAGATGTGGACCCTCTGGATATTTTAGTATGTAATTTATTATAAAATTGAAATCAAGACTTTTTCACCAGATTTGTCTCCCCAGAAATTCATATGCAAATGTTGCCTTTGTCAAGTATTTTGACATTGAATACCATTTTTTGGTGAAATGTTACCTTGGGTCTGTTTGTGAATAGAGAAATGGTAAAGGAGTAACTTGTTAGTCATTAAAAATAATCACATGATTCTCGGTTTTATATGGTTTTCAGAATTTCACTTCAATTAATAAAGATTAGAAGCAAGAATGTACAGTGTATAGAAGAGGTTAATTTTGCATATCCCTAAAGTAAAATATAAATGACCTCAGTTTAACATATATTGTGTGCAGTTCCAGATTTTAGATGTGACTCAAACAGAAAAGGATGCATCTGGCAAGTGTCAGGTATCATACAAGTCACTAGATCCACATACGTTCCTCAAGACCAAGACTGATTGCATCTCAGGGAAAACAGTGCCTTTCATCCTACATCCTGACAAAGTAAGTGCATTATGATCAGAATGAAGAATTTTTGCCAGGGTCCAAGGTACTGGATCATACGTGATACGAAGTTCAGTGGATACAAATTTTACATTAAGTCACATGCACCCTAAATTCCATTAAACAAGCAAACAAGCAAGAAATAAAAATATGAGATACTATAAGGAAGTTAACAGGTACAACTAGCATTTACTGCTGTGGTTTAGTATTTTTATTTATTTACAGTATTTATGTTTTTTATTAAATAATTTTCTTGGGGAGTAAAGCTCGGCCAGTGCATAAGGCTGACAACCTTACCGCCATCTTTGAGCCGATTGTCTAGATAATGTGAGACCCTCAATGTCTCACAAGCTTATGGCCCTTCATGGCTTCTTACAGGGATAGCTTTACTTTCTTTTTTACCATGTTTTTTAAATGGTATTGCTTGTAACTCAGACTGTATAGCATAGAACATTAAGGTAATGAAATGGAAAGGATATAGGTTGAAAAGGTCATGGCATAGTTTGAGGCACTATGCAGGCATTTATCTAAAGGGACTGAGGGAAACAAAATATCTCAGTATAGTTGGTGCCCTAGACAAGATTTCAACTGGGTTCTTCTCAATATAAGTCACAAGCATTATTGCTTGAGCTGTCTTGCTCAGTTTCTGCATTTTCAAAAGTACAATTCATTAAGACTAAATTTAATTTTAACAAGAAGGGCTGAAGAGATCTGCAGATTTTAGGTAATTTTGAGGTATTTCTTGTTTCATGATACAGCATGCTAGAATTGTGTTTCAGATTCTGTCTCATAAAAAAATGGTTTTTCTATTTCATGTTCAAGTTTATTATGCAACATAATAGCTTCTTTCTGTTTCATAATGCCCTTTATTTCTTTGATAAGTGTCCCTTGCTTCTTTAACTTACCCATGTAGCAAAGACCTTGGTGTTATATAGAAAATCCTGGATCCTAATGCATTAGAATATATTTACACAGTACCTGAAGTCCTTGAGTTCTGCTACAGAAGTATTCTTAACCACAATTTCTTTCTTTTCAGTTTACAGAATTGAAGTTTACCATATGATGTTTTGTTATTCCAGGTTATGGGAACATCGGTTACCTCGAAGAGGGAGGCGAAGTATGTATTGTCAAATGATATGTCTGTTGTGAAGTCCATCATGGCAAGTGAGACACACAACATGGTGGTGGAGATGTGGAAGGATGCTGGGGGCTCTGTCAGCGCAAGGCAACACCTTTTTTTGACAGGTACATCACCGAGATTGAATTACTGTTTAAGCCAGGGGGGATGACACATTTCCCTTATATGTAACACCGTAGTTTCCCCTTCTGTGTTAAGAACTTCAGATGGGAGGATGAAAGTTAAGCAAGTTACCTATATTTGTTGTTAATGTTTGTAACATTTTCTGTTAGAGAATAAATGAAATTATTTTAGCCACTAGTGCAGTAAATCTGTGGTCATGCTATAGCTAAGGTGATTAGATATCAGCCTCTCATATTAGGGGTTCAGGTTCAATTTCAGTGTGGTCCACATGAGATTTATGGTGACAAAAATATTAATGAGGCCGATTTTCCCTCCTGCTGTTCCATATCTATATCCAAGGCTGGAAGTGGGGATCAATCAGATGCTGTTTACTTAGTACAGACTTCTTTCTTTAATGAAGCTGTTTACAGAGTATTAAAACATTATACCAATTGTTATCAACAACAATACATGTAGGAATGAATTCTGCAGTTCCATTGTAATAATTTCCCTTGTAACAAGTGTTTATCTTTTCCTGGGTTCTTCTGCCCCTCTGGAATGTCTACATACATACATACATACATACATATCATTACAGAACTCCAAACAAATGGACATGAAGGTCATCATACAAAAATTTAAACAAACACACAGATAACGAAATAATTAAAACTAATTGTTTATGTTATGCTCCACATATTCAGAAACTGTATAAAGGAATGTACTGAAGTATGTAGTACTGAAGAGATATTTCCTTCCCTGTCCATATCTACCATTGTAAGTCAAGCCACCTGTTATGTTAACATGACTCTGGTCCTTGGTTGAGGCTTCACCTGTTACCAGTTGGCAGGTTAAATTCACAGTGAGAATGTTTGGTTGAATTAGAGGTATGATTTGTGGATGGATGGATGGATGGATGGATGGATGGATGGACAGAGAGATGGTGGGGCATCATAATCCGGCCCTTGCACTGCGACCTTATAAATCTATTGTGCTTCCCTTTTTGATTAATCCTTTATTAATCCTCCACTTTGAATGAAGTGTAGGACTTTGCTTATGGGGCCATCATAGTAGTCACTTGGTTACATAAAGAACTGGCACAAGTGACAAGATCTTTGATAAGCTATGATGGCCTCACACTCACACAGGATGTGTGTGTGGCTGATTCATCTTCTAGGCACCTTTCACAAGTTGGGTCATCTGTCAGTCCCAGTATGAAAAGGTGTCATTTTAGGTGACAATGTCCTGTAAATAGTCCTGCCACCCATCTTAATTGGTCTCTTTTTAATTTCAACAGATCCTTTGTTCTTCTGGCAGATGACCCTAGTATAAGTCCCTTTGCCTGCCTAGGTCCAGTTACGGACTCCCAATGTTTTTTGTGATTTCTGTTCGCCTAGTCCCTGACTGCTTTCTTAGCAACTCCAATTGGGATGCCACAAGCTGGTTCAGGTCCTATGAATGGCTGTTCAGATCCTGTTCTTGCCAGCTGATCTGTGGTTTCATTCCCAGCAGTACTCTCCTACTGAGATGCCGCAAGCTGGTTCAGGTCCTATGAACGGCTGTTCAGATCCTGTTCTTGCCATCTGATCTGCGGTTTCATTCCCTGCAATCCTCTCCTACTGAGATGCCGCAAGCTGGTTCAGGTCCTATGAACGGCTGTTCAGATCCTGTTCTTGCCATCTGATCTGCGGTTTCATTCCCTGCAATCCTCTCCTACTGAGATGCCGCAAGCTGGTTCAGGTCCTATGAACGGCTGTTCAGATCCTGTTCTTGCCATCTGATCTGCGGTTTCATTCCCTGCAATCCTCTCCTACTGAGATGCCGCAAGCTGGTTCAGGTCCTATGAACGGCTGTTCAGATCCTGTTCTTGCCATCTGATCTGCGGTTTCATTCCCTGCAATACTCTCCTACTGAGTTGCCGCAAGCTGGTTCAGGTCCTATGAATGACTGTTCAGATCGTGTTCTTGCCAGCTGATCTGTGGTTTCATTTACTGCAATATTCTCCTACTGAGATGACCAAGGTGCCATCCTTGGCGAGCGACTGGCTTTGGCTGGACAATTTTCATAATAGGTGAATAATAGAATAGGTGAATAATAGGTGCCTTTTGCAGCTGGTCAACAGACCGACCTATGTCCCTTATAATGTGTATACTTCGTGACGTAATCTCCAGATTCACCTTTAGGTTGTCCTTGTACCACTCCCAATTGGTTCTCCTGGGATTCCAGAAGATAACCTGATTTGTTGTTATGTTGCCAGCTAATTTCTACCCCAGTGCCATGCAGACCTCAGCACAATGCCACACGCCTTGGCTTAGGTGGTCTGGTCCTGTTGAGAATAAGACCATCACGAACCTCCAGGATCTAAAGTGCATGTTCTGGATGAGAAGAGGTGTCCCATAGGACCATTAGGAGTGTGACACTAGCTAACCATGTGGTTGCAACCAGGGAGAATTGCATGAAAGGATCACCCCTGGGGGTGGCAAACCACCCCTAATTCCCACTTCTTCACATAGGTTGGCTAAACTGTTTTAAGAGTGTTGACTACCTTATTGGTACTCTAGGGAAGCAACTCAAGTAGCTGGAGCTACCCCCATATGAGTGCTTTCTTGCATTCATCCCAGGCAAACCGCATGGGAGGCTCCGGTCATAAAATGCCATTGTCCTTTATGGGAGCTTAGCCACCAATCCTGTCTTGTCATACTAATCCAGACCCCAAGACTGACTTTGCCCAGCGGGACCATGAGGTGTCCCAAAGCTGTGTCCCGATGCACCCCCGGTCCATGATGTACCCCCACCAGAGACACAGCCATAGTTCAGCCAACCTCACTGAGGATGTCATCATTACTACCTGTATCTCACAACCTCTAGTAGGTCATAGTTACTTCTGCCAAATTAAGGTAAGTTGTGTGCTGAAACTGCTCTATCCAGCCCTGTTACCCTCTTCTTTCAGACACTGATGGCAAAGTGCTGCCAATCAAAACCTCATCAGTTGAAGAAGCTGTTCAAGAAATAGAGAAAAATTTAAAGACAACATTTACAAAACAAATTCTGGTAACAGAAAGGGAGCCACCAGCCTGCCAAGAAGATTGTCCTACAGTAAGTAGACCAAAAATCTGTTAAACTCTAAAGAAGAATAAGGGGGGAAGACTGCAAATTGGACACTTGTAGGATCAAGGAGGTGAAATGCAAATTTAAATTTGTGCCAGGGACAATTTGACTGTATACTCCACTTCATTCTGTTTGTTACATCTGAGTTTTTGAATTTTGGGTAGAACAGGAATCAGCCATGATTATATCAAAGATTGTATCTAAATTACCACATGCTTCCTTTTTTCCTCTTTTATGTTTGTAACAGAACAATTAACCCCACAGTGCCATGTGGGTTAAAGATTTCTCATAAAACTTATGTGCTATATTTTAAAAATAAACATTTTTGAAACCCAAAGAATAAATTTAAATCTGTCACATACTGAAAACAAACAAGGCATAAAATAATTTATTACTAGGGTTCCTTAATGATCACAGAATATAGAACAAAATAAACAAAGCCTATATGTAATTCAATATTAATTGTTCCTATTGTTGCTCTTTCAAGAGAGTGTAAAACCTGAATCAAATCTAAGAAAACTGAAATATAGTGCAACGTTAAGCTTTCCATCTGCCAAGTATATGCCTAGATGAAATATAATGTAACATTTATGCAATTCAAACTGCATTATTAGTTGCTCCTTCTAATAGACATAACATATGGTTCAAAAGTATTAAAATGTCTAAGTAATGCAATATTTTGCAATTATTCCCTCTGTTGAGTATAAAATTAGGACCCCCATACACACACAGCTTGGTCTTCTGATCGACCTTACAGGCAAAACTTTTACAGTTTGCTCTCTCCTTTTCCTTCCCCATACACGCGCAGATGAACCAGCAGGCTGCATAGAGGTCTTCGCTACTCATTCCAGATTTCTTAGCCACCAATACTTTCTTCCGTTCCTTTCTGAAACTGATACATAGATTGTTGATCTTCTTCAACACAGTTTCCTTGTTAGCTTGAGGATTAATTGTTTTAACTTTTTTCATTAGTGCTGAATAAGCACTCTCTTTTATCTCACGGTTGTGGTATTCTTTGCTCTTGACATTCCAAATAGAAGGATGGCCATGAAATTCTCCAATAAATTCAAGTAAAAAGTCCTTTGACCATGTCGCCATAGCACAAACTACAAAATCATGGTGCAAGTTTCAAAATATCATGTTCTTGAGAAATGACATACAATGCGAAACAGTACTGAAGAATATAAGACAGCAGCAGCAACTGAGTGATTGGCCTGCCGGTATCGTCACACATGTGCGTTCCATCTATCATGTGATATGTCCTGCAGGTAGAACTGACGGTTTCCTACAGTCCAAATGATTGGCTGGCCGCACCACACACTTGAGTTTTGTCTTTCAGTCTTCAACAGTGCAGGCTGAACAGGAGGCCAAACTGTGTGTGTATGGGGGCCCCTAGATTTAAACCTGCATAACCTATACAGAATTCATATTGCATTATTAATTGTTTCTTGTAATGGACATAAAGTTTGAATCAGAACTATAAAACCGTATATCTGATACAACATTGATTGTTCCTTCTGTTTAATATAAACCTGGATCAAAACTAACATAACCTACACACAGTTTGTATATTGAATTATTTATTGTCCCTTCAGTGGGTATAAAGTGTGGATAAAAAAATCCCTGTGAATAATTATTTTTTTCAGGAGTTGAAGTTTAATAATGAATCATAGACTTTACCCTTCTGATCTCAGTTATGGTTACTATAGCTCATAACTGGTTTACTCTTGCACTCATTGATTTGGCTTTGATACTGAAATGCTATTTCATCAATGTGATGTAAGATCATATGTAAGGGTGACAATGTATGGCCCTTTTGGTTCTTGTTCTACTCCCTCAAGTAATGTACAGGACAGAAAGTGCTTTGGTAGTGGAAGATTTAATGTAAAACGAAATTCTTAGGATACATGTAAGCATATAATTTTCATAACTGTTAATAATCAAATAGTAAACCCAAATACAACTCTGAAAACTTATTAAGTCTAATAAATGCAGGAATAAATACGAATCTGCTAAACACAGTATGGACTTAGGAGTTCCCATGTTAGTTTATCTTTATCTTCTAGCTACATAAACTTGTGAAGGAGAATCATGACCATCTGAAAGATGAGAACATTGGAACAACACGCTCAGCCACTATATTCATCAAACTCTTGAATGTTGCAAGGGAATCGAAGATGGAAGATATTTACAAAGTTTTGAAGAGTTCAAAAAACAAGGATATACTGTACGTACCATTTAGCATCTAAATTAACGTACAAAGGAAATCCTTGTGTGTGTTAATCAAAGAAATGAACTGTACCTGTCCTATTCTTATTGTGATCTTATGTTCTTGAAAAGAAGATATAATCGGTAGAAGATGCCGTTAGAACAGTATGTACCTTCAGTTTCTCTCTTTCAAATTATGCTCTGTCTAATGACTTCTGAGCCAAGGGATAGTTTCTCAAAAGCCCAGAACTTTATATTTATAACAAAATCTCTCTGAAGATTACTGTCTTCTGGGATGTGAAACCATGTAGTCTGGTAAAACTTTCAGAGGAACCTGGTGCCTTCAGTCAGCAGGCCCCTCTGAAACATTGATACATTTCTAACAGACTACATGGTGTCACATCGCAGAGAGCAGTTGTCTTGATATTCACCACTGTGGGAACCTCAAATCTCACACAGATTTCTCCCACCTGCTACCACTGGATGTGAAAATTCTGAGCTGGAGACAAGCCCCTACATCAGTGTAGTGGGTAGTGATGCTCCAGTAAACTTACATGGCATTTGAAATGAGTTACTCACATTTTTATTAACCTTTTTATGTGTCATTAGATCACACTCTATATACACACATTATCAAAGCAAGTAAAACTTCAGCCATATAAATCACAATTATATTGTGTTAGATGCAGTAGCATAAATTTGAATTTATTATATGCTATGTGCTCATATTCCATTGTCTTACTTGTACCCAGCTGAAAACTGTGTGTGGCTATGCTTGTTTGCAATCTCAGAATCATATAAGTTTGTTCAGGACTGAATAAACGCTGCCTGATATATATTGTCGCGTATCGGGCGTATATCGCGACAAATAACTTCATGATGTATTTGATGTAGCGAATTTTATTTCACATTCGCACTTACAATCACCCAAATTACAGATTTACGATTACTGCTATCTGCAGTATCACAATTAGCACACTCCAAATGCCACAATACAACTGACTGGCTGACTTTACGTCTCGACTCGGCGACTGTTACTTTATAACTGCTGGTAGCCACATTAGAACTGACCGTGAATAGCCTTCGCTGCGCCTCATGTAGCCTCGATCGGACCATACGGAAAACGGCCGCGTAATAGGCACCCTCTTTGCCTGGCGCAGTGTTGCTATGTAACGCTAGCGGAGGTAACCGCTGTTACTATCGTAACGTCGCCGCTGTTGACTCGCGTTGCCTAGCGACTGCGATATCCCTCGGTGACGTCACCGCGGAGGGGAGTGGCGGGGCGGGAACTCGCCCATTACCGTAAGAATGCGAGCGTTACATTACCGCCACGTACCGCTGGGGAGGTAGGGGTCAACATGTCACAATATTATTGGTTTCTGGGTTATGATACCACATAGTCTGATAAGTAGGTTCCATTGTTTTTGGACAATAAGGCTACATAGTGTCAACCCAAATGATAGTATGATTGGTCATAGACAGCTGTCATGCAGAGGGAATTTGTGTTAGTGGGCATTTTGTGTAGAAACAGAAAACTGTGTTGGGATATTATTTCCAGTGACCTGTCCATGTAAACAGAAATGTTTGGATCATTACTCCCTCCCATAATTTGTTTAATTGCAATTGAATCTCATCCAAGACATTGCAGTAAGGAAATAAGTATGAGTTGTGTGTTTTTGAGGTTGCAGTTGTGTGACTTGGTTGGAGCTACACAGACAGTAGCGGCACATGAGGCTGCAAGGAAGTTCCTCCATCTGGACTTGGAGTCAGACCTGGACATGAATGAACGTTACTTTTGGGCTCTCTCACTCGGCTCACATCCACAGCAGCAGGTCATCAAGGGTGAGGCTCCTTGTACTTAATTTGTTATGGTACAAGTAAATGAGGTGGATCTTATTTAACCAGTAAAAAAATAATTGATACCTCAACAATATATGAAGATTACTATCATATTTTACAACACCTTCAGCGTCTGGACTATATAGGATTAAATAGTATGATGATGGATGAACTGTGAAGGATCTGGTTGGAAGTAATTGTGGTGTAATTGAGGTACCATTTGCTTGGTGGAAATGAGAAAAACTATCCAAAGCATGACTGAATGAGCAGTATATTCTGTACTGGGACGTGACATCATGTAATCTGCTAAATTGTTTTTTTCCTCCCTATAAAGTGTTATTGTGTGAGATTTATGGCTCTTATAATGGTGACTGTGAAGATATCTTTTGCGTCGGATGTGATGTAATGTATTGTGGCAGATATTAAAAATATTCAGGAGGCCTCTGCTGCTGTAATCTTCAGGTTAGTAGGAAGCTGGTCCTCTGAAACAGTTTCTGCCAGTTTACACTGTATCACATAATGGGAAACATAATTTTCATCTTGGCACTTACCTGAAGAGAAAGCGGCCTCCCTAGTCTAGGGGTAACGTTCCCACCTCATGACTCAATGTATGCGGGTTCAAACCCGGCGGAGGTTGTGGAATTTTTAAGGGCGGAAAAATTCAGGGAGCAAGTCCCTCCCGTGTCTTAGATTTACGGCACGTAAAAGAACCTCATGTCTCTAGGAGACCTCTGAGCTAAATTTGGCCAAAAAGTTTCTCGCCCAAAGTAGTTTCCAATGCCTGTGGTAGATGGGGGAAGTATTAGGTACCACTGCCAGAGGAGGGGGGACCTCTCTGACAGAAAGGGACTAACTATTAGATACCACTGCCAGTAGAAGGTTGGAACCTCGCTGGCAGAAAGGGGCTGATAGTAAGCACCAATACCGGTAGGGTATGGAGACAGTAGAAATTAAAAGGGGGATGCACAATGGACCAATAACTGGTCTAAGTGCATGGGGAAGCCCACCCCCTCAATACTGAATACTGAATACCTGAAGAGAATGAGAAGGCCAGTCTGACCAATATTTCAACTGGATACTGTCAAATACAAGCTTTATAAAGTTCTACTGCTACACCAACCTGCTCACTACGCTGAAGCCATGAAAAGAAGTTCCCATGGATCAACCCCCTTGAGTTCTTAACAGTTCCCTTCCCGTATACTTCCCTGTAATCACCTCCGTTCATCTAACTGCACTGTTCACACAGATGTTGGTAGTGACAACTTCACCTAGCAAAAAGGGTTTTGGCCTGGTTTACATAGGCCTCAGGCAGATAGAGAGGAATAGAACAACAGGTAGAAAGTGGGAAGGCTGGACTGTTGATATCCCCACTATCCATGGGACTTCTTTATGTGGCATTACTATGACTTTAAGGTTATAGAGTTGCTGAACATGTCTGGTCAGACAAGTTCTGCACCCTTCTATATTGTGCTCTCAATACACTCAAGATCATTTTTCTATGCCCACAGATGTACTGACGTTAACATACAAAGACTTCCCAGAGAAGCTGTCAGAGACTCTGGTATTGACAGTTGCAGCTTTAACTAACCGGTTCATGAAGCTGCCAGGGAACAGTCAGCACAAGGTTAGATAGCCTGCATTGCTTCAAAGTCATAAGATTCAGTTATTTTTTGTTTTTCACTGTAGGGGAATTGTGGACCTATTTTATCAGCCCTTAGTGATAGGTTGGTGTGGAGCATTGGTGTAGTGATAAGTGGCAGGAGGAAACTGAAATGCTCAGAAAATATTGTCCCAATGCCATTTTGTCTACCAATAATCCCACACAGACTACCCTGGGACTTAACTCATGTCTGTGTGGTGAGAAACTGTGAATTAAATATTTGAGCCATCGCTCAGTGTGTGACAGTTATACTACAGTGTTAACAAACTGGTGACAGATGTTCAGGAAGGCAATACCAAAACATGCAATTGCACACAAGGCTGACCTAGTTCCATCTGCATTCCAGCTTCACAGATTAACTCCCTGAGATCCCTTAACCCTTTCCAGTCAAACATAAATATATAATCAGTAAGGTGACTGCACTTCCAAGGACAAGTGTCGATATACTATCGACAAAGTTTGTTTTGTGTTTCTGCAGTCATATTTCGATCATACATCACTAGTTGGCACTGTAGACTATACCAACTCATGCATGAATGTTTTGTCTGCCTCCCCCTGCCATCTGGAAGTCATAATTTGAACTTCTTGAGGAACGAATGGTATTTATATATCATGGTGTGTCACATGTTGAATGTATAAGGGGTGGGCCTTCTTGGCCCTTGCACCGCGATGACAGTGATCTATTGTGCCTTTAGTAGCATGATTTTATATTCAGATGAACCACGGTCCTCTGGATTGAAGAAACTAGATATAATACCTTGTGTGATGTGGTGAAGAACTCGATATTGACTATGATGAGATTAATTGGAAATTGAAGGAGAAACTGCGAGTGAAAACTCGAGCAATGAAATGTCGGAAAGTGAGAGTGAGAGCAAAACAAGTTTTGTTTTGTGTTGGTGGGTTGGAAGACATTACAATTTGCGATGATGCATGTGGGGAAATTATGCCACCAAATAATGCAATCAGGCCATCAAAAAGACAAGAGTGTACATGGGGTGATAAAACACATAGAGAAACAATTTAAGAAACATTTTTTGCCGGGTAAAAACATTGTAATGGATGAATCAATAGTTGGGTTCAAGCACAATAATTTTTGAAACTTGTAATCCCCCTCCCATAAAGAAGTGGGGCATCATATTATTTGCAGTAGTTGAAAGTGACACTGGTTACATTCACAGTATAATTCCAAATTATGGAAAACTTACAGGTGATGTGTGTAACTTACCATACTCTGAAAAACCGTTCATTTCAAGAACAGTTCTTTCCTTGTTGGACAGACTATGACTCAGTGTGTCTAGTACTGAAGACTACCGCCATTTCACTGACAAATATTATAGCAGTATTGAGTTGGCCCAAGAATTGAACAAACAAAAATGTAAGTACACATTTGGCTTTTAACTTTATGATCTTGTTACACCATTTTTTGGGGAAAACAGTTCACTTAGTAGCTCGGCAGGCATTTAAAAACCCCTGACAACCTGGCTGTGGAAATTTTTCTGAACGCGATGACCAGAAAGGGTTAATATTATCCTTCCATCTCATTCTGTTTCTTCTAAATCGTCACTTTTTAAAACTATTTCCTCATAAAACTGTGTACGTTTGTCTTTCCCAGCCAAATTTCATGCATTGATACAAAACAATTCAAATTATCTTATTTATATGCAGGTAATTGGGGAGGTAAAGATGTCACTGGTAGATGGTCTGTCCAAATGTGCTAATGAAGAATGCAAGCAGAAATATTTACGTGGCTTGAAGAACCTGGGGATTAGAGACACTGTGCCGCTGTTACTGCAACATGCTTTGTCTGGAACCAAGAAGACAAGTGTCACTGCAATGAAAGCCCTGCGATCATTGCCACCTGCTGCTTGGGATGACGATGTTAAGACAGCAGCGACACGGATATATTATCAGCTGGGTAAAAGGTTTGACACCAGTTCTAGAACTCTGGCTGCAGACATTCTGCTGGAGTCTAAACCAAGCCGTGAAGTTCTTCGAGAACTCCTCCTATCTCTGGCCTCGAGAGCAGATCCAACTTATGAAGTAAGTCAAATACAGTGAAAACCCCTGTATAGTTTCTTGGTAAGAACTGGCCCTTAAACACTAAACTAAGGGAAACTTTAAATGGCGGAAACTCAGTGCTGAGATTACTGACTTAGGAACTAATGAAATTGAATATTAAACTAGGGAAATGTTAAATTGGGGAATATTATTTAGGGGGCTCTGCTGTATGTTGGTGTACAAATACCAGCAGTATAACACACGCAGTCACAGGAGCAAGACACAACACAAAGCACAATAAACACATGAAAGTAGGAAGAATACTCTGATAGAAGAAGATAAGTGTGACTCGCGTATTGAGATACGACATAAGGATGACAAATCCTGAACAGTTTTAATATTTTTAATATTTAAAATTTATCAATATATATGACGAATATATATTTTAATTATTTTAGTATAAAGACAACAGGGCATGCAATGAAGTAGTTCGACGTACATCGAAAAGCACCTGAAGATGGCACTTTAGTGCTGAAACATGTAGTGCAAGAGAGAAGAGTAAGGTGAATAAATGTATGCACTGTAAGACGGTCTGAATAAATCATGGACATAAATCAGTGCAACATAATGCTAAAATATAACATTACAAATCATTTTTTTTTATTTGATATTTCTAACATCTGCCTTCTCAGTAGTGTGAAAAAATCTACTCATGTTTCCACTTTATAAGGCATTCTGTTTAGTCTGACACTAAGAAAGATACTGGAGATGTTCATTCATGTTGGACAGACCTTGCATTATGTGAAATGTGCCTCACTTGCAGAGTCATGGTTCCATAAATAAAGACAAAGATACAGTTACATGGAAGTGTGTCAGTATTGGCAGTGAGATGTAGTGGTGAGGTGTAGTCTCTACAATACTTTCATATAGTTGCCAAATGTCTGTTAGTCCATAAATTGTTAAATTGTGTTTGTCTTCTTAATTTGCAAATATAAGTCCATTGATACTGCCAGAATTTTCTTCTTTGGTGGGGGTGGGAGCAGGAAATTTGCATTGAAACTTACATTTATGCCATTAGATTATTTTAAATGAGTTTCCTAGATTATTTGGGTTTATTTTTTTATGCTTTCTTAATTGTGGGAGGGGTGCAGATGACCAGCTACCCCCTCGGCACCTATAATGAAGGCTGTACCCTACTTTTTCTTTGAAATTAATGTAAAAAAAAGAATGATCAGGTTTTTATATTTGTTGGCTTTATTCATTGCCAGCAAGGAGCAGTGTGCAGCACAGTCATCTTAAAAATTTGAGTTGTTTGCTTATAGTTTTTGTACTGTACTAGTAGTTGGTTGAGACACTATGCTACAAGCCGGAAGGTCACGGGTTCAAGTCCTGATGAGGTCATTGGATTTTTTTCAATTTACCTAATCCTTCCAGCCACACTATGGCCCTGGGGTCGACTCAGCCTCTAACAGAAATGAGTACCAGGAATTAATTAAATAATTTTCCTGGGGAGTAAAGCGCGGCCGGCACGTTAGGCTGACAAACTTATCGCCATCTTTGAGCCGATTGTCTAGATAATGTGGGACCCTCAACGTCACAACACTATGGGCCTCCATGGCCTGTTACAGGGTAGCTTCACTTTTTTAGTTTACTAATTACAGTGACAAATGCAAATGGTTATATTTATTTCAGTAAAAATTATTTGGATGGGGTAGGGGGTGAGAACGAGGGTCCATGGCAGAAATCTTGGGAACCACTGGTGTAGACTTTTCTGGCTTTTGACAACTTAGGCAAGGGTAGAGATGGTAGATCCATAGTATGGGTTTTGGTATTGTCAGGGGTAGGGCATACATGAGAATGATTGTCTGTAGAGAACCTGCAGCTTAATAAGGGCTTTGAACCATAGAGTGAGGGCCTGGTTTTCTTAATGTTGCTGAAGTTTTATTTTTCATAGAAGAAGAAGATTTAAACCCATGAATAGAAAAATACACAGACACGTGCATACACACACACACACACACATCTGACCAGAGTTCAAACTCAGAAGTCATGAGTGAGATTCCAGTGTCTAATGTAAGTCCACCACAACTCATCAGAGTATAACATTAATATTCATTTGAGATAAACAGTTAATAGAATTGGAACTAGATTGAACTAATTAAGGATAAAGTCTCAACTAGCACTGTTGAACTTTTGGTTTCTTTATTAACAGAGCTGATGGCTCACTGAAATTGGTAACACTGCTTCACAGGTGCAACAGTACGTGCTGCAGAGGATTAACCAGATTAGTGACAGAGATCCAAACTTTGGTGCACAAGTAGTGTCTATAATACGAGAAGAACACAAGAAGCTCAACAATTACCATGTGATGGGTCAGCGAGGGCTCTCGACTGCTTTCATGAGGTCATTCCTCTCCAGTCCAAGTGGGAATGGCAGCCTGGTTGCAATTCAGGAGATAGCTGGTGGGATCCTCAAGAGAGGTCTTGTTGATGTTGTCTTGGAAACCCAGGGAACATCACAGGAAATCTTCACAGTGAGTTCCATCTGTGAACTTGTATGTGAGATAGAAGAGGAAAGAGGGAAAGGGGTGATATGCTTATTTTTCATTTAATTGGCACTTAAATGGTTTTGCGCAGTTATTATTAGGATGACAAAGTCAAGAAGATGAGATGGGCAGGAGAGGTAGCATGCATGACAAATATGAAAGTTTTGGTCGGAAAACCTGAGAGGAAGAGACTCCTTGGAAGGACTGGATAAATGAGAGGGAAAAAATTGGTAAATTTCATGATAAGATGGTGACTGTCAGCTTCTTAATAAGGGCTGTGTTCCATAGTATTCGTTAGTGAGTGAAAGTGCAGTGGAATCCCATGCTCACTCATGGAGCTGAGCCATGCTTGAGAAGCTGCCACTTGTGCAGCCACTCACGAAATTCCCAACACTTTATGGAACCTGAAGGTTCATTACCGTGTTCACAAGAGCCCACCACTGGTCCCTATCCTGGAGCCAGATCAATCCAGTCCATATCATCCCATCCTATCTCTCTAAGATCCAATTTAATATTGTCCACCCACCTACATCTTGGTCTTCCCAGTGCTCTCTTTCCATCTGGCTTTCCCATCAACATCCTATATGCATTCCTCATCTCTCCCATTCGTGCTACATGCCCTGCCCACCTCATACTCCTTGACTTGATCATTTTAATTATACTTGGAGAAGAGTACAAGTTATGAAGCACTTCATTATGTAGTTTTCTCCAACCTCCTGTCACTTCATCTCTCTTTGGTCCAAATATTGTTCTTGTTCTCAAACACCCCCAATCTATGTTCCTCTCTAAGTTGCACACCCATACAGAACTACAGGCAAAATTATAGTTTTGCATATTCTAATTTTTATGTTTTTAGACAACAGATGGGAAGACGAAAGGCTCTGGGCTGAATGGTAGCAAGAATTACCCAAGTTCAGTCTTATCTTAATTTCCTCCTGAATCAGGTTTTGATTTGTTATAGTCATTCCCAAATATTTTCAAAACATCTGTTACCTATCTTTATATCATGATTTTTCCCTACATTTTGGTGATGAGACAGCAACATATACTTAGTTTTCTCTGTGTTTACTTCTAGACCAACCTCCTTACTAGCATCAATTAAAGTTTATGTTTATCTTTATGGTATCGATATTATCACATAGTAGATTCACATCAGCATAGACCAACAGCTGATGTGTCCCATTTAATTTCAGTCACACTTGGTTTTTTCTGAACTTTCCTAATGGCATATTCTAAAGCAAAGTTGAAAAGCAGTGGTGATAGAGCATCTCCTTCTTTTAGACCATCTTGGATAGGAAAATTACCAGACAAATGTAAGATTTAAGGCTTTCACGGCGGTGACTATGAAGAAAGCAGTCTTCTGGGATTTGGCACTGTGTATATGTGGTGTTAACCGACGTTTCGGAGGAACGTATCGCCTCCATCTTCAGAAGCAGACTGCTTTTACCGGTTCTCACGGTCTCTTTGCTTGCAGATTTCTTATATATTTTTTCTTCTACCCTGAAGATGATACGTTCCTCCGAAACGTCGGTTAACACCACATATACACGGTGCCAAATCCCAGAAGACTGCTTTCTTCATACCAGACAAATGTTTACCTATACGGACTTTACCATACATTTTGTTTAAACGCATTTTAATCAGCCTAACTAGTTTCATGGGTATCCCAAATTCTGCCAGAATATTGTACAATACTGCCTCTCAACTGAATCATAGACTTTCTTGAAGTCTAGGAATAGCTGATGTACTGTCTCATTGTACCCTCAGTATCTGACGAATGCCAGGGATCTGTCTGTAGTTGATCTGTTACGTCGAAACCCACACTGATGATCCCCAATAGTTTCATCTATGTATGGACTTAACCTTGAGAGAAGAATATTGGATAAAATTTTGTATGAAGTGGATGACAGTGATATCCCCCGATAATAATGACAGTCAGTTTAACACCCTTCTTGTGGATTGATACAATAATAGACTCCTTCCACTGATCAGGAATTTTTTTCCTTATTCGAAACACAGTTAATTAGCTTATGGATCTGAGAACATAATACTTCACCTCCTGCTTGAATAAGCTCTGCCAGAATTTGATCACTACCTGGCAATTTATATATTTTCAATTTTGCAATAGCAGTTTCAAACTCAAAAGGGCTAGGATCAGATACTAATGGTTCAGCTGTCATTTCTGTCCGCCTAACATCAATGACCCTATGTACATTCAATAACTTAGAAAAGTAGTTCTTCCTCCTATTCAGAATGTAGGAATCTGCAAAGAGATCACTATTCTCGTCCTTCACTAAGTTACTTCTAGGTTGGTGATCCCTCTTGAAGTCTTATATTCCTCTATACAAGTCTCTAATGTTCTTGTTCTTACTCTTCGTTGCAAGCTCATTAATTTTGTGTTATGCCATTCCTCCATGGTATTCAGATAGTCAGTGAATTAACATCTGCTAATTCCAGCTGGGTCTCTTTGCTGGAGGTCTGAGTTCATTCGTCTCATCTGATGAGGAGCCAGTTGATTCAGAAGAACCAGAAGAATCTGCCACTGCTGGCATGGAGATAACAGCGCTGGGAGTTCAAATGCGGCCATTTGTATTCTTCAGTGGACAGGGTGAACTCATGGGACATGTCTGGTCAGGAACTGGATCAGAGAAAACACCAGCCTTCCAGGTAAATAAAGGATCAATATAGTAATTGTATCACAGTAGATAAAACCCACAGGTAAACCCCTTAAAGCACAGTGGTTGGTAGATGTATAACCCACTTTAAAATGATAGAAGTCTCTATTTTGCCCACAGATTGGATTTATGTGTTTTGTGCGAGTCTCACGATAAGGAGCAATTATTTTCCTTAACACAATTAACTGCCTCATCTTTGTATTGGATGGGGAGTGTGTTTCCTTTGAGGTAGGAACCGAATTTACATATATGATCGTTGGTCAGAAACTAATTTAAAGAGCATGTAATTGACAGTTTTTTAGTTACAATCCAAGACATAACAATTTCAGGATAATTCTACTGACATCCCACTAATTTTCAACATACTCTCTGCAAAAATTGAGACACCATATGGTGGGATGAGTTTTTTTTTCTATTTTCTTTTGGTAGAAGGCATGTCATTTTCATTCAGTTCAGTATCAGTCAAGTAGGCATGCTTAACTAATTCATACATCCAAAAAGTGGTAAATGATAGGGAAATTGACATTCAGTTTTGCCAGGAATAAACAAATACTTCTGATATAGGCTCAGTAAGAGTAGGTCCTTTGGCTGGGAGAATATAGGCCTTTTAAACTTACTTTCTGACCACTCCTCATATTATTTAGAAACTTCAGAGTTTGCAGGGTTAAACTGGATGCTTGTGTTTCAGACGCTGGCATTGCTGCAGGACCATCTACAGTACCTTCCCCTCCAGTCTGGATTCGTTGCTGAACTGAACTTGATGGGTGTTGTGTCATTTGATTTGTCTGGACAAATTCAGCTCAGCTTGTGGAACAGAAATGCACATTCACTTGTTGAGAAAAAGTACGTTTATTTGTTTCTGGAAGCTGTGAATTTGCTGAAATTACAATCTTTACTCATTACAATTGCTTGGGTGGACCATTGCAACATGAGGACTAACCCACATGTGTCAGTGATAGGAAAACATTGAAGCAAGATGAAAGTTGTGTAGAGAAATGCACATTATAAAGTAATATGGTGCTTATGTTTGTTGCTAGTGCTGGCATCATGATACAGGGTGTCATGAAGGTTGACTCATCATTCGTGAGGAGCCAAGTGGAGTTCACCCTTGCAACAGAGGCGAAACTGAATCTTGTGTCAGACATTGATTTCTACAACAGTGTTGCCCTCTGCCTTCAGTTAAGATCTCCAGACTCAGTCATTAAGTGAGTATAGCATTAACACATGACTGCTTATTGGTTTAAGGCTGACTGGCCTTTAATGGTTATTAACCTTTAACTTATGAATGTTAGATATATCTAACAATTAACACAACGAGATTCATCTAATGCATTACACAGTACACCTGCACCCTTTGGGAGTGCTGGCAGTTTCATCCTGGGGTTGAAACAACAACAAACCCATGCGAGGTCAAGTCAGTGGTTCATTCCTTAGCTCTGAACAATGAAACTGTTTATCACGGTACTGGTTTCAATATTATTTACATTTAGATATGACTGTTTATGACCAGGTCAGCCAAATAGAGCACAGATTTGTTTTCAGAACTGAGAAGTAAATATTCATTTGAGCATGCTGATTAGTGCTACTTGAGCTTGCAAGGAAGTGGGTCGTTTTCAAGGATTTGTTTTCAGTAGCGAATTATCAGTCAGAAAGTCAATGTCTGACTGTCAATTATTTATTTATAATACATTCTTATTTTGTGTCTTGGTAGAGGTATAAAGCCATTGAAGACAACAATGCACATATGGGCTTTGTGCTGATAGGATGATAAATAGTTATGGAATTGCCTGGAGGATATGGAAATCGACAAAGAAATTGTTTATCCACCTTCTGGACATGACTATTCTCAATGCCTATTTACTGTCGAAAAATGACACACAAAAAATTCCATGAAATCCTAGTGCAAGATTTGATTGTACAGTCGCATGAGGTGAATATCACGGCCAGTGGCATTTCTTGGGGGAGGCCAAGTTCATCTGGGTCCCATCTGAGTCGACTAGAGGTGAAACATTCACAACACTGGCCATCCAAAGGGAAACAAAAACGTTTGTGTTTGCTAAATAAGAAAACCAGGAGCACCCTCTTCTATTGTAAAAAGTGTGATGTTGGGTCTGTGTGTCGAGGACTGCTTTGACCAGTGGTGCACGAATGTCAGAGTGTGATCACTGAATGGAGTTATCATAAACTGTGAAGTGACGCAGTTTATACTTGCTTACAGTCTGAACAAAGGCTTACTGTATATATATTTTTTTATTGCTAGTGAAGTGGGACAAAGTCCCTTGTACTGCGGCCACTTCTGGCCTATTGTACCAGCCCCAGATGATAGGTGAGGGTGATTGTGGAGCAGTTGGTGGAATGAAGATTGGCAGGGGAAACTGAAGTACTCTGAGAAAACCTGCCCCAGCGCCACTTTGTCCACCACAAATCCCACTTGACCAGACCCGGAATCGAACCAGGGCCGCCACAGCGGGAAGCCAACGGCTAACCGCTTGAGCTATGGCGCGGCCATTATTGTATATAGTGTGATTATTTTTTACAAAATCAAAATGTTTGAAGTTTCGAGAAAAACTACGGGTAAGTCCTTTGGAATTTCATAATATACAGGGTGTCCCAGGAGGAATGTGCCAGACTTCGGGAGGGTGTTCCTTATGTTAAAGTGTGCTGATATAACCCAAAACACCTATGTCCAAAGTTGAACGGTTATGGAGATAATGACCCAAGAAAAGTGTGGTCTTCTGGTGGGTCCACGGACTGTACCTGTCAGCTGAGAAGTCTTATCGATGTTTGTCCTTGAGTGTGGTGATGACGGCCCACACTAGCTGTAAGCTTATGTGTTTCCTTCAAGGTACATTGCGGCCGCGTTGTGAATGGTTGGTAGGTTAGTTGTGCAGAGTTGCTGAAATGCCTTTTGTGTTTTCACACATGGAATATTGTGATATGCATTTCGTGTATGGATTTTGTGGTGGCAATGCACGTGCTGCTGTTGAAGAATACCACAGGCGTTTTCCCAATTGAAGGATTCCATTTTGAAGTGTATTTACGCGAATTCACCAGACACTGTGTGATACTGGTTCTATTATGAGTGTTTCTGTACGCTCTGAAAGGGAGGATGTACGAATGATAAACACACGAGAGAATATTCTTGAGATGGTTCAGAGAAGTTCACGTCTGTCCACTCGTAGAATGGCCTCTCACATTGGCGTATCATGTATGCAGGTGTGGTGAACTTTACATGATGAAGAGCAGTATCCTTACCATGATCAAAGGGTACAACATCTGGAACCAGGCGACCATGCTCAGCGTATGGATTTGTGCCACTGGATAAAAGCTCATCCCGAATTGTTAAGCGTCATTTTATTCAGTGATGAGCTGTCTTTTACTCGGGACGGTGTAAATAATTTACGAAATGTGCATACGTGGTCCCATAATAATCCACATGAGATAATGGAAACAAAATTTCAAAAGAGATTTTCTGTGAATGTATGGTGTGGTGTGCATGGGAACAGGTTGATCGGACCTTTTGTGTTTCACAACAATTTAACTGAAACCACGTATGAAGCCTTCCTGAGGAATGAGTTACCATGTTTGTTGGAAGACATCCTGTTAATGAAAAGGAGCCAAATGTACTTCCAACATGACGGGGCTCCCCCAAAATTACACTCAGCACATGAGACACTACTTGGATGAATCCTTCCCTAACCATTGGTTAGGTCATGGTGGGCCCGTTGCATGGCCACCGAGGTCGCCAGATCTTATGCCTCTAGATTATTACCTCTGGGGCCACATGAAGACGTTAGTCTATGAAACTAAGGTCGATTCACGAGAAGCACTGCGGGATCGTATTTTTGCAGCGGCAGAACACATACATCACCATCCAGGCAACAATGCTTCTGCTACCCAATCCCTCATGATGTGTGCCGAAAACTGCATTGCAGCTGGCGGAGGACACTTTGAACAGTTACTATAAAGCAGGTACTGTATTTTAGTACAGTTATGTAGTCGGCTTATACCAGAATGTGCAGTCAGCCATGTTACGTCAGTGCTTGCCATTCATGTGTCCTGTATAGTGCTTGGAACCCTAAGGACAACTATGACATGGTGTGCGAATTTTTTTATAGTTCAATTTAGTGGCTTCATGTCATTCACAAGTTAGTGTGATGTTACGTACATTATTAACATTACAGAAACCACATATTCCTGCCAGTTTTAATATGTATTTGGTAATCAACAAGTGTGTAACACCTATCAAAGTTTCACACTTCTCTGGCCATTATCTCCGTAACCGTTCAACTTTGGACATAGGTGTTTTGGGTTATATTGACATACTTTAACATAAGGAACACCCTCCCAAAGTCTGGCACATTCCTCCTGGGACATCCTGTATATAATAAAGATATTTTGCAGTTCATGACAAAATAATCACAGTATATTTTCAATTGTAAAAAATGCTCTTTTGTGTATATGTAAAAGAAATTATTGTTTTTCAGGCTATTTTTAGTTCGTATTTCTACATTGCAAAAAAACGGAAAATATGTAGTTTTTCTGAAAGGCTGCAACTTTAAAGACTTAGGGCTAATTAAATTCTGGCCGCAGCAGGCTCTCGACAATTTAAAAGTCTGTAATTTAAAGGTTAATGACTCAGTAATTAAATTTAGCAAATTAAAACTTTTAATTAAATGTTCATAATGGTATTTGCTTTACTACAGACATAATGACTATGGTATGCCATTATGGTTTAGTTGCCAGCCTTCATTGTGAAAGTGGATTTGTGTTCATATTACCCTTTCGCTGTGTGGAAAATGCACATCATTAATTATGTAGCTTTATCATTGAGAAAACTGTCTCTGACTTGCAGATGCCTGTTTCAAGGTGTCAGTGAATGTAAAAATCAAAGATATGACACTCAATATGCAATAATATGGTGGCAAATTTGTGAACTGGGCATTGGAAGGCTTCCAACAGAAATATGGATATTCCTTAGGATTTTATAAAAGAACTTCCTTAATCAGCTGAATAAGCAATACCATGTATCATGGTGATAGTGTAAAAAATGACTGTATGATAATGTTTCAGACATAATGTGTACAAGGTTGAGCGGATCCCTGGCAGCAAACATAGGTTACGCAAGGCAAAGTACAAAGTGATGAAGGTCCCTGGCAAGACCTATGCTCTCAACAGGAAGAGTAATGAAATGTGCAATGTCATATTCAAGGAATAATGTGATGTGAACCACTAACACTGAATGTGACTCGTCATAAATGGGGAAAAGCAGCAGTCAACATTTGTGAATATTAATTAATATGATGCGTGTCCTGCAGTAATTTATCTACATGTATCTTTTGTACATAATACATTCCTTATTTACAGATATTATTATTATTACAAATTTAACAATCTGTCCATGAAACCTTGATGGTGACTCCCCTTTTGCCCTGAATATAACTGTATATGCTCAAATGCAATGTGGAGTCTATTGAAATATCATTTTAAAAAAGTGACTTCACAAAATATTTATGCATGTTCAGTTCTGTTGGGAATTCTTTTGGAACCTGTCACTGTAATTCATTTAAATTATGTTCTCTCCATTGCAAAAAGAATGAAATTGAACGTTTTGGTTGACTCCTTCAGATTCAGTAAGTGCCATATTTGGATCTTGGTCTCTAGACAGACTACTCGTTTTATGACAGAGGTTTCATGACTTTCCAGTGTCTCCAAGCAGATGTTGGGTTAGTACCTCAAATTCAGCCACACTGCTTCCTTCCACAGCCTCTCCAATTCATTATCCAATCATCTTTCCATCATTCATGCTATGCAATCACTTACTCTTACTTTCTCATGGAGCTGAGCCCTTCTTGAGGAGCCGCCAATTCTGCAGCTACTCAAGAATTTCCAAGCATCTTATGGAACCCAAAGGTTCATTTCTTTTTGCTATACAATCACACCTATTGAAATTGTTGCATAAACCATATATTGATCAGCAACAACGTTCAAAACATCGGTGCCAGCGGGGGGGACAAGAGCATTCTAGGCATCTACCCTCTTTCCTTGCTGACATTTTGGTAAAACCCTATGTTGAAATATATGGATATATGTCAAATATTGATACCAAAAATGGAAAATATTATTTTCTTTAATTACTTCCTCTATTGTGAATATTCTAGAGTGTTTAGCAAAACGTCTTAAATGGTTTAAACATAAGTTTATGAGCAAATTTTCTGGCTGCCCCACAACCATGGGAAACAATCCTGAGAGCGCCAGTGATTCAGAACTACAGTCTTGATATGTTTCACTCCATCCTTTGAAGGCTGAAGCTCATTTAAGGAATCAGTTCAGTTCTACTTTGCAGAAAAAGCAGCATATTTGTTTAGAAATCACAGTTTACAGGTGAGACGAAAACAGTCTTTTAGATAGACTTAATAATGGCAATTTGGCACAATTGAAGAATGGGGTAACTAGGAGACAATTGGTGAGCTACTGCAGCCACTCCAAGTAATTTAAGCAGCACGATACAGGAGACAAAAAATACCAACTAAAAGAAAATAAATATTAATTGCATTACGACTAAAATATAGATAATTGAAAAAACTAACCTAACACAAATTAAAAAAAAAAAGGAAAAATAAAAGAAAAAAAGAAAAGTAAACCTCACACCATCAAAATCTATTATCAGTCAACCACTCTACCATGTTTATCAACACAGACTGGGACTAGCATACTAGGCTTCCCCTCATGAGTTCATAATGAAAGATTTTTTTTTCAAGAGGAACCACATTTATTAACTCATCAAAACAACAGAAGAAAATAGCATCTTTCTGGTGAGTATAGGGACCACGGGTTAAAGCTACAGATGTATATGGCTCCATCGAGAAATATTGCAGTCGCCAAATTTATACATTTTATGCAATTTTCTTCCTTCAAAGTCCACAGATAGATGAAATTATTTGGGATCATCAGTGAGGATTTAGACCTAACAGATCAGTTACCAGTCAGACTTTTTGCATTCATCAGATACTGGGGAAAAAATAGGAGTACAGAGAGACAGTACATCAGCTATTCATAGAATTCAAGAAAGCTTATGATTCAGTTATGAGGAGAGTACTGTGCAATAGTCTCTTAAGAGTTTGGGGTACCCATGAAACTAATTATGTTGATTAAAACGTGTTTAAATGAAATGTATGGTAAAGTCCGTGTAGGTAAACATCTGTCTGGTAATTTTCCTATCCAAAATGGTCTAAAATAAGGACATGAGTTATTGCCATTGTTTTTCAACTTTGCTTTAGAATATGCTATTAGGAAGGTCCAGGAAAACCAGGTTGGACTGAAATTAAATGGGACACATCAGCTTCTGGTCTAGCTGGTGGTGTGAATGTGTTGGGAAGTAACATAGATACCATAAAGAAGAACACAGAAACTCTTTAATTGACACTACTAAAGAGGTTGGTCTAGAAGTAAATGTAGAGAAACCTAAGAACATATAGTTGTAGTGTCACTAGAATGCGGGGAAAATCATAACATGAAGATAACTAACAGATCCTTTGCGAATGTGGCACAGTTCAAATATTTGGGAATGACAGAAATCAAAATTTGTCCTTCTGGGACATAATGCTATGTAGTCCACTGAAAGCACTCTGCTTGTCACGTGATTCATGCTGGTACTTTGTACTTTGCTGGGCTTTTTCAACACTGAAGATGGAGGTGATATGTTCCTCCAAAAGGTTGGGTGACTTTGAATGGACTACAGTGTTATATCATGGAACACAGTGCTCTTCATAACCAACACTGAGAACCACAGATCCTACAAATCAAAATTTGAAGCAGGAGGAATTTAAGATGAGACTGAATTCAGGTAATGGTTGCTGCCATTAAGTCCAGAACATTGTCATCTCATCTACTGCCAAAACATGTAACAGAATATACAAAACTATAATTTTGCTGTGGTTTTGTGTGAGTGTGAAACTTGGTCTCTCATATTAAGAGAGGAACATAGACTGAGGGTATTCAAGAACAGGGTGCTGAGGATAATATACTAAAGCAAAGTTGAAAACGAGTGGTGATACAGCATCTCCTTGTTTTAGTTCATTCTGGATAGGGAAATTATCAGACAAATATTTAGGTGGGTGGACAATATTAAAATGGATCTTAGAGAGATATGATGTGACAGTATGGATTGGATTGATCTGGCTCAGGATAGGAATCAGTGGAGAGCTCTTGTGAGCACAGTAATAAACCTTTGGGTTCCATAAAATGCTGGGAAGCTCTTGAGTAGCTGCAAAATTTGTGGCTTCTCAAGAAGGGCTCAGCTCCACGAGTCAGTGAGTGTGTCAGTTGAAGAAAAACTACTGATTACTCTGTGGAAAGGAAAGTTTATCTTTTTATTGATATATAAATTCTGCAGACCTCTAAACAAATACAATACCACTGCTAGCCGTTTTTTGTTTACATTGTTTATTATAATCAAAATGATGATGATGGAAGGCAGAGACTGTTGAGGGCACAGCGCCTGCGAAACCAGCTGGCTGATTACTCCTTAGCACCAGCAGGTACAAGTCCGTCTCAGTGGAGTTATATTAACTGAATTCTGCTGATGATTGTAAAGGATGAGGACTAACCAAACTGCCGACTTTTATCACAAAGCACAGGTCATACTGTAGTAGTTCTTTGCATTGTTTTAGCATACATGTTCTGTATTTTAAGCCTATTATTAGTTCTGGTTACAGTATATATGTAATATACAAATATGTATATTACATATATACACATACCAGATTCCTTCATCTCTTGGAAAAATTTTTTCCCCAGGCCAAATCTACTTTTACCTGCCTGGCATTTATCTTATATGCCAGGCTCTTGCTCAATTAACTGCACAATAACAAATTAACTTCTTCCACTTTTCCTGCCATCACAACAAACAATTGTAACACTGCAGCGCGTTACAGTACAGTTGATTTCTAGGAATCTATGCGGTAACTCAATCGTGTGAAGACTGGCATGCTCCGTTGCCTGGAAATTGAGTTTCTCAGTCTTTCCGCCAGTTGCGTTGCCGTTTCCTCAATTTGCGCTGTTCCATACACTTACATGTGTTCAACGCTGGCTGATGGCATTTCTCGGAAATAGCGGTTGTGTTGCGGTTGCCATTTTCCTTGTTGTCCGTCCAGCCGGTCCAGCCTAACACATTGGAAGGTTACGTAAGAAAAAATCGCCACAACTTTATCAAAATAACAACGCTCTGGAACAATTGCTGTTGCTAGTCATATCTCATTCATTGCATATTTTTGCTATAATATAAATTTGCTGGGGGAGGAACACATCGAATCCCCTGAATTTTCTTACAAAATCTTGTCCTTTCGTCTCATTTTTGAGCTGATTTTAGTTGCCTTGGGAGAATCTGTGATCAGAGGTCTTGGAGTGAGAAGAAAGTGTCTTGGGTAAATTCTTTGGCGTTATTGTGGTCAACACGGTCAGCACCGTCAGCACGTCAGCACTGCGCATGAACCGGACAGGTTTGTTTGATGTTTAATAGAGGCGTAAGGCTTAGGTCGGTTATTTCGGTGGCAGTACTTTGGCGTTTTTTATGCATAAGATGTATACGTTGCATCTTAGCTGACTCATTATCATTGCAATTACTTCATATAAGTGCAGTCAGGTAATTACAGGGCTTGAAAGAGTTCTTTTTCGAATGTCAGATATCTGTTTCATTTTGGTGTTCCTTTATGTATGATTTCAAATGAATGGGAAGTGTTAACGAATATGGATTCAGCTAGTAATCATTAATAGAGGTAATGACATCTCCGGAGCAGCGATGTAAATTCGTTGATCTTGGGAGAGGGTGATCTGGAAATAAACTTCTATCACTGCATGTATCATGTCTTCCTGTTTTCGCTGAATTTTTTTGGAGCTGTTAGACGTAACATAAGCCATTATAATCATCAAGATTCATCTTACCTTCTTCAGAATTCACGCCTTATTTACGGGTACAGGCCGCCGCAAACTTTCCTAAGTTACGTAACAAAAAAGGACACCTAATTTTAGTGGCACATAAGTAATCCTTCATTTAACGATTTTTCAAGTGCCGTAACTGCAAGTTAGCATTGATACTGTTGTCTGCATGTACGATATTAAAATGATTTTCGTTGTTGCTTTCGTTTTAGTAATATTGTGTTATCTTTTACCACAATATGTGTAACAGAATTTTTTATCATCTGCATACTGCCAAAATGACATGCTTATTCTATCAGTTTGTTATGTAGCATTTTTATCAATAAATAATGGATTTTCCCCAGATGAGAGTCGTGTAATGGAGTTGGAAGAGATCCACACTTTGGCACTATCGCCTGCTGTAGCTGCGTCATTTGCAGCTTTGTGGTCTGATGATGATAAAATATCAGTTATCACTGAGAAGGGGTTACATGTTATGGTAAGGAGTCACTTCAGTTTTAACATAACTGGGTTTTTGGACTTGTCCTTCATCTGGTGTAGCAAACAACACAATATTTCAGAAACGAATCTGTTTTTGTCCTCGGGAGAAAACTTGAAGAGGCACCTATTTAATTTGGTCTGTTTACATTTACATTTATTTTCACTTCATGGATCCAATCATCTCCCCGTAGGGCTGGATATAAAACATGTCACATATTACAAATTCATGATGACTACACATCATTCGTCCTTTGTCCAATAAAAAATATAATCAGGCCTCTCACAGATAGCTGAAGTTGTCAGGGCAACACACATGGGTCATGGAAAAACCACAGTCAAATTCACACCTGCCATTCCACACACACTGGCAAGCCGTATCATTAAAACAGTTACAATTATAAAATATTAAAATTCATAACAAAAACAGACTTCATACACACTACACTTGCAACAAGCAAGTCTCAACAATATATAATTCACACACACAGACCCTTTATTAACTTCTGAGTCCCATTCATGATCGACAAATTCATCAGTAGAGTAAAATACATGACTTTGCAAATAATTTCATAAAACAAACCTAAATTGCTTTTTATCATTTTTCAAAACTGTGATATTTGACGGCAGAGTGTTAAATAGCTTGACGCCTGAAAAATACACCCCCTCTTTGATAGGATGATAAATGTGTTGAAGGTATATAAAGGTGGTCATTCCTCCTGGTACCAATGACATAAACAGAGTTATTGGTTTGAAACTTACCCAGATTATTAACAACAAATGTCAACAATGAAAGCAAATATACACATGGAATTGGCAGTATGTCAAGCTTTTTAAATAAATCTCTACAAGTATGAGTTGGGCCCACTCCCATCTTTATTCTTATTGTTATTTTCTTTTGCCTAACAGAGACTTTATGACTGTCTGATGTATTTCCCCAGTATATTATTCCATATTTCACCAATGAACGATAATATGCATAATATACAGCTTTAAGACTGTTTATATTTAATATATAGGATAATTTTCGCATTAGAAAACAAACTGTGCTCAACCTGTGAAGCAAAAAGCGATATGTTCCTTACAAGTCAGATGATTGTCCAGCTGAAAATTGAGAAATTTTATTATTTCTACTTCTTTCAGCTTTCTGTTAAAAAACAATGTGTATGTAGAGGGCAGCACATGGCTGCTGTTGGGGTGAATATTATCATTTTTGTTTTATCCAGATTTAACACTAATTGATTATTTTGAAACCACGTAAACATGTGATTAAAAACAACGTCCAATTTTATTTTTAAATTATAGTAGTCTTTAGCTGTGCAAAGAATACTTGTGTCATCTGCAAACATAATAACTTCTGAAATTAGAGATAAGTAAGTTTTATTATTGGTCCTATTGACAAACCCTGATCCTAGGTGATTATATAGATATAGGTGACTCACTTAAGTTGTCCACTTATCAATTTTTAATGTAACAACAATTCAGTTCCATATATCTCATTCATCTGGAACTGCAAGATAGTTTGGAATGTGACCCATTAGCCTCAAAAGTTTCTTGTCATGGTTGTGAGCTGGATGGCAGGGGTTCTGATCCCATCAGCAATCGTGTCTTGATGAGGTTTGTGTCCTTTCTGGTAGGCAATTTCTTTATAAAGTGAAGGCAGGTAGAATTTGGAACAAAGCAAACACCTGCTTCTGGTTCTGAGGTGTTAGACTGCATGGAGGAACATTTTTAGCCTGAAATATCACCAAGACTGGAAGTAATTGGATTTTCCTTTCTATTGACAGGCTGGTGCTGATAAGAGATGGAAAGGAATGCAAGAGTATTGTAAGACTAGGTTGACTTTCTTCAAAGGAACATTTGAGAAAGCAGTTTGTTGCATGTGGCTTATTTTTCTGCTGCAAACTGTTCCTCTGGTGGCTGGAGGCAACATTACAAGCAGTGTGTTTGGCTTGGTCACAGGTGTGAGGCCAGCTGCCTTTGGAGACTTCAATTCTGATGAACTGACAGATTTGTTTGTTATTCGTGGAAAAAAGAAAAATACCATGGAAATTATGTTGGCAAGAGAGCAGGAACCATTGTTTCAGGCTGGTCATGGCCTAAGTTGCATGTATTCTGACATGCACATAACGAGTGTTGTTCCTGGGAACTTTGATGGTGATGCACATCTGGATCTTCTGGTGACAGCCTTGAACAAAACAGACCCACACAGCCCCACACACATTTTCATCTCGTGGGGAGGGGTGAACCACATCAACTGCAGTAATGTGACAGCCATGTATAAAATGAAAAATCAACCATTAGTACTTGATTACAATCATGACATGGTAGTGGACTTATTTGGTGAAAATGTTGAAGGAAACAGAACATTTGTGGTGTTCAATGCAAATAGAAGCATACCACCCCAGCTAGTCCCCATGATGCCGGCTGAGCGTTCAAAGGATCCCCTGAGAGTACCACATTCACATGCATTTTTGGACCTGAACAGAGATTTTACTTCAGATCTCTTGCTGTCAACAAAAGTTGGTTTTGAACTGTGGTTAGCTAACAAGAATGGGGAATTGGCTCTTAACGGAACCATAGAACTGCCTGTTGGACTCACCACAGAACAGATTGGGCAGTCTCTTTTTCTGGACTTAGAGCTGACTGGAGAGATGTACCATCTTCTTCCAGTCTGTTTTGATGGCTTCAAGGACTGTCTCCCATGCCGAAACAGCACATTGTTCGCTTATGTGAATGGGAAGTGGCACAATCTTAACCCAGACTTGAGGGATGGCACAGGTCAGGTGTGGGGTTTCTACAGGTGCAGTGGCCATCCCTACACAGACACAGTTACTCTCCGAGGGGGAGATTTCAACATGGATGGCTATCCTGACATTCTGGCTACATTGATGAAGAATTCACATTCCAAAGTGTTCCTGTTGGAGAATGTTGAGAGTTTGTCTGGAAGTTTGAGTAGAACATACACCATTCATGGGGATTCTCTTGCATCGATGAATAATGACACAACAATGGCTGCATTTTACGACTTATATCAGGATGGGGTTTTGGATGTGATCTTATATGGTCCAGACACAGTTCAGGCATTCAGAAACACTTTGGATTATGATGCCAATTTTCTGAAAGTCATGGTTCTTACAGGTACAGATCGAGGGGGGAACTTACCGGGTCCAGGTATTTCTTGCAGGACGACAACACAGGAAGGATACCCACGCTTGGCACTTACAACTCAATTACCACAGTCTGCCCACTTCTCTCTTGGCCTGCCCTACACAATATTTGGCCTTGGACGTACACCTAAATTTGTTGATACACTAACTGTGGGCATAGCCGGGAGGTCAAAACCATGGACACAGATAATACCAAACTCTCAGATGGTAGTAATCCCGTCTCCTCTAGACCAGACAAGCAAGTGGCGTGCTCAGCTGTTTATCACACCCAGCAAGATGATTTTGATGAGTGCTGTAGCCCTTACTGGAACATGTGGCCTCATTATTGCAATCATCGGTGCTCTTTACTGGAAGGAAAAGCGAGAGGATCGCATTGAGAAATTGCAGGAAGCCCACCGGTTCCATTTTGATGCTATGTGATGTGCAATTTCTGTGGTTGTGTCCCGTATGTCCCATCAGGTAGCTGATATGTCATTTTCTGGGAAATTTTCTGCATGGAAAGTCTCATATCATGTGGATATTAATTTTACTAATTAGGACACATTTTTAAACCTTGATTTTGTTCTTAAGTTTTAAGTTTCATGTGTGAATCTTACAGCCTGACATGACACCATCCGTTTTCTATACCGTTGAAATGTCATTAATAATATGTAGGATTTCAGGTTCTCACAGAAGTGGTTATGAAGAATGATCTCTTCTGAGATATAACGTCTTGTAGTCCATTGAAATTCAAGTGACATTTCAGAGGAATACATTCTAAGTCTTCTGTCTCTTCACCAGCTATTGGCTGGTAATGGATCCCAACAGTGTCTTCTTCTGCTCAAGTCATTGCTGGCTTTCTACCATCTCGCAACTAACTCTCAACTCATGGCTGCAATTCACGGCCTTCTAGCCATGAGTGTCGACTCATGGCTATTCCTTGCTGTCAGCTGCAACTAACTTGCCCCATTGTAGTCTCATAATGAATGATCAGATGCACCACAGCACATTTCAGCCTCTCACGTTCTGATTCTTAGAAGTTATAATAAAGGAATATTACATATCGTAAAAACAAATTAATCAGTAAATAAAGAATTAAATGATTAATTCGATTATCTAATCATTTTCCAAAACGCCATATTTGAGAAAACACCTTAACATTCCACACTGAAACAGACAAGAGTCCGTCTTCTGGGATATAATGCTATGTAATCTGTTGAAAGTCAACTGAAGTTGCAGAGGAGCACATAGCCTTCATCCTTGTTGTCAGAGAATAAGTCAGGAAAGAAACCAGCCTGAAGCAAAGGTCTGCTTGGGACTGCGCCATAGCGCAAGCGCTTAATTGCTGGCTTCCCAACGCGACAGCCCGGGTTCATTCCCGGGTCTGGTCAAGTGGGATCTGTGGTGGTCAAAGTGGTGCTGGGGCAGGTTTTCTCCAAGTACTTCAGTTTCCCCTGCCAATCTTCATTCCACCAATTGCTCCACAATCACTCTCACCTGTCATCTGGGGCTGGTACAATAGGCCAGAAGTGGCCACAGTACAAGGGACTTAGTCCCACCCCACTAGCAATAAAAAAAAAGGTCTGCTTGCAAGCTGCTTCATGCTTTTTTCTTGCCTGTCTTATTCTTTGACCTTGAAGTTGGAGGTGACATTCAGTTGAATGTGCTGCCTCATCTGTATCTGGGGAAAGCAGGTTTTGCGAAAACATTGATAGTGGCCCACTGAGCTATATGGCGTCAAATCCCAGAAGACAGTCATCTTAGTATTTTCCACTAGGAAAACCTCAAATTGCTAATCTAACATCAGATTTCAAGTATTTCAACTGTTTACTGGTACCTTAATGCTCAGTATTAGCCTCAAGATTGAAATGTACACTGCACCAGTAGATGTATGACTTAGACTTTTGATGGGTTTGCTGGTAGTCATCACTTGTTTGCCTGTGTGTATGTTATGTGTACTGGCTGCAAAATGTGCTGGATGTACCCCTTACTTATCTAGTGAGAGTATTGACAGGTTAATCACTCCCAGTAATCATATGCAGAAGTTATTTTTCCTGTCAAACAGAAGATTATTTATCTCCATCTTTAGTTCCACCTTACAAACATGTATACTTTTTTAACCCTCTGAAGCACAGTGGATACTGTATGTTATTGGCCAGTTTTAGAATTGGAATTAGCTGTGTATAAGTACAGATAAAAACTATATGAACAGGAAACAGTAATTATTGATACATATTGTCTCCAATTTAACTTGTTTCCTTACAAACAGTCTTTGTTTATTTTAAACAGTAAATGCAGGTAAAAGTAAAGTAAGAAGTAAAGCTATCCCTGTACCAGGCCGTGAAGGCACATACGGTTGTGAGATGTTGAGGGTCCCACATTATCTAGACATTGGTTCAAAGATGGCGCTAAGGTTGTCAGCCTTACACGCTGGCCATGCTTTACTCCCCAGGAAAATTATTATTTAATTCCTGGTACTCATTTCTGTTAGAGGATGAGTAAACCCCAGGGCCTAGTGCGGCTGGAAGGATTAGGTCAACTGAAAAAAATCCAGTGACCTCATCGGGATTTGAACCCATGTAGCACCTCAACCACTATGCTACCGCATGCCCCCTCACAGTAAATGCAGGTATCCATTTAATCTAAGTTTTGTTAGTCAGTATGAATATATGCATTGAAATTGATTGAAAGAGGTGGGATGGCTCATGCAATATAATGACCAGGCTAATGGCCGGATGCCTAAGGAATCATGGTTTGTTTCCCAACAGGGGCAAATTGATTTTTCTTCACAGCATCCGAACTGCCAGAACCAGCCTCATATGTAGTTTGTACCAGGAGCTCTTTCCGTGGGGATGAAGTAGTTGGGGCCTGACCATTCACCTGCATCTAGTGCCAAGGCTAAAAATGTTTGGCGTTTTACCCGTACTTCTGCATCCGTCTTCGTGTCATAGTGCTTAAATAAGCATAGGGACAACTTCATTTTAATTGGCTTTAATGTATAGTTGTATCATCTGCTCTTTTGTGTATTATCTACACTACAAAATTGTAATTTGTAAATACTTTATAAATTGTAATCTAATGTAAGAAAATGTATAAATATATGTGTGTAAATAAAATTAAATTATTTGAAGGAAGAAGTCATTTTACATGTAAATATCTGTGGATCTCAACAGTGGGTGGAACCAGCTGTGTCCCCTCCCCCCAATTTTTTGAAAGAATGGGAATTGGAAAAGGAAAATGGCCACACTTATGTCTACGTCAGAAGGGAAGAGAGAATTACTTTCAGCCATTCATTGAATTAAATGTATACTTGAACCTGTGTCAGGATGTTAGGAGATCTGTAACATTCATTTTGAACCCAGAATAAGGCTCCTCTTGCTTACTTTTCTTTCTGAAAAGAAGAAAGCATGGGGGGGGGTTGAGTCCAGCTGGGTCCACTTGGTACGGTGGCCACTGATTGGCCTATTGTAACTGCCCCAGGTGATTATGATGTAGAATTTGGTGGAATGAAGATTGGCAAGGGAAGCCAAAGTACTCTGAGAAAACCTACCCCAGTGCCACTTTGTCCACCACAAATCCCACTTGACCAGACCCTGGTTTGAACCCGGCCTGCCGCGGTGGGAAGCCAGTGACTAACCGCTTGAGCTATGGCGCGGCCTTCACAAGGGAAGGAAGGAAGCACATGAGGTCACCATGGTGTCTGCACGTTTGCTTGTGTGTTCGCTTGCAGTGTTTGAATCTGTTAACTACTTTTTATGAAATTTGTTCAGAACCTTAGCCTTTGTAATTTCTTATAATTAATAATAACAGCAAGGTGGGCGCATGAAGTTTCGGATAGAAGCAACACCAATGCCGCTTAATAGGAGGGAGTGGGTTCTGAAGTTATGAATGGTGACGGATAAAAAAAATATTTTTGTTGAGGTAATTTTCTGTAGAACATAAAATAACATAGTGGTCAGGCAAACTTTTTTTTAGCCTTTTGTTTTGTGGGAGTAACTTATAAACTATTGAAGAAATGTGGAGTTTGGTACAAAAATCTTATACATCTGTAAAAATAGGTATGAAATATTGTTTGTAAGTCAACAGTTAGAAACACAGTGATGGCATGTATCTTTGAAGTTATATACTGGAAAATAAATAACAGACAATGATTCTTGATTGAAAATTACGTCACAAAAATAAAATTGGAATTCCTTGTCATAATATGATATATTTGTAAGTCATAACTATGCAGAATGGGGGTATATCATACCTTACATAGGTAACTATCTGGAACGAAAAGACCATGTATGTATGCTTGAATTCGCTACAGGCAATACTGGAAGTATGTTGAAAATTGAATAAAATAACTTTGTAATGATGACACGAGCCCATGCCAATAATTGCTGATAGCAGACGCCTGTTCCTGTAGTAGGTGGGATATGCTGTGATACATGGATAGTGAGAGCCAAGATAAATCATGAATCACATAAACTGAAATAAATTCTAGAGACAAACTGTCACCATGTTCAAGGTGTGAGTCAGGCTCCAGCTGCTGTCACCTCTACTACTGAGCAAGTTGTCTCAAGCAGTAATGCTTTTCACACTGAACAGGTCGGTATAGCAGTAACCCTCTAGAAAGGGCCACACCATAGCTCAAATGGTTAGTCGTTGGCTTTCCACCGCAGTGGCCCAGGTTTGATCCTGGGTCTGGTCAAGTGGGATTTGTGGTGGACTAAGTGGCACTGGGGCAGGTTTTCTCCGAGTACTTCGGTTTCCCCTGCCAATCGTCATTCCACCAATTGCTCCACAGTCACCCTCACCTATCATCTGGGGCTGGTACAATAGGCCAGAAGTGGCCGTAGTACGAGGGACATAGTCCTACCCCACTAGCAAAAACAAAAACCCTCTAGACTTCTATCTGGTAGATGGTTGGTTTGAATCTTGCCTGGGACACTGACTATCCTAAGTCAGGTTGTCTGTCTTCAGTCCCTTCAGGCAAATTCTGGGATAATACTGTGATTAGTCTGTGACTGCTTTCTGCCAAATTTTCTTCAGTTCTTCATTCATCAGTCATCCCATCATTTGACGCTAAGTAGTCTTGATACTGAAAGCATCATTAAATAACGAATGTAAAGAAAAAAATACCTTTGGATTGTGTTCAGGAGTTGCTGGTTCGAATCATGGCTGGAACAATGACTGACTTGAGTAAGGATTTTCATGGTTTTTGTTCCACCCTCCAGGCAGATGCTAGATTAGGCCAGTAGGTCTGTTGTGAACATGAGGATAGATCTGTGGGGTTGATAAGAACAGTGAATGTCTCAAGATTACAGGCTTCTGGCTATTGTGATGCCATGTAATTTGGGAACTACATACCAACATTTGGGAGAAATGTGCCGTCTCAGCTTTCGGGGTAGAAGAGCAAGCTGAATAGAGGTAAATAGTCAGTGACGTAGGAGAGGAAGGCGAGAACTAATGAGAACCAGTGGTATAATGGGCTAAATTTTCCTTGAAATCTCATTCATGGGGTTTCATGACCATGTGAACAACTATCAGCTGCTCAAAGCCTCCACCATGAGCCTAGAAAAAAAAGTGGCTGGTTGTATATTGGATGACTGCAGTTCAAATCCAGCTAGGTGCATTGAAGACTTACTGTTCAGTGACACAGATGAATTATACACAGTCTGGTACTGAATGGGAGGGAACATGAAGCTAACTGCTTAGCTTCATCAAGTGCTGAGGTGTGTGAGGCATGAAGTTGTGCCCAGTACACCCAGGAAACCCCCCCCTGAAAGGCATATGTTTTGTTACAGGAGTTGGTGCCAGATCCTGATGGTGCTCAGCAAGTATTGGAATTACGTCGCAGCTGGGTTAAGCCATGTGATTATTTTCCAACATCAGAAACAGGTGTGGTTCCACTTGTGAGGGCACGGTTATGTTTCAAGTTCTGGGAATAAAATTAAGGGCCACTATTTTTATACATTGTTCTCCTTAATCCTGTTGGTACTGTCAGGGCTCTTTCTGGTCCCCTTTCACCCTATATCCATATAATATTTTCCATATTTTAAATGTATCTTCAGAGATCTGGGTTCAGGGTCAATTATTGGCTCGTGTGATAACATTTGGTTTCTTTATTTAAAAGAAGGAAATCTGTTTGTGAGTTAAGCAATTATCAGTTTTCTGAGAAAGACTCACCATGGAGTTAGTTTGCTTTAACTACTTCTATCTCCAAAAATTATAAGTTGATAATTGTTCTAATTTACATGAGGTTGGCAGCTGGAGAACAGAATCAGTTAGATTGAAATCTTAGGTGTGTTTTCGTGTGTGTTTCAGGCATTGATTATAACAGTTTGATCTGGAAACTGGACCAGCAGGATGCATACAGGCTTATTCTCGACACATGCCTTGCTCCGAACCTCACCACAACAAAGTCAGTT